CTTAACCAGTCCGGGGTCAGGAAACAAGCATGGCTTCTTCCTCACAGGCTTGCTGCTCCATGTGGCTTCCTCAGGTCTCCTCCTTCTCCATCCTTCTTTCCTCCTCTCTTCTCTTCTCCCTTTCTTCTCAGCTCTACCCTCCTTCTGGGTGGGGCAGGGAACCTGTAACTTCCCTTTTTCCTAGGGACCACCCTGTTATACTTGTACAATACTTAACTAATTATCCAACCAACCATTTAGTATACCTTATCTTCTCTTTACACGCTGTGATTTCTGTTAAGAAAAATTAACTAAATATTTCAGAATTTAACTAGTGGGAAGCAAAGAATTAAGATTATAGATACAAAAGGTACAGTAATTGTGCTTTAATCAGCTTACAAAATACCACATGAACAACTATCAATCAACTAAAATTTAATTTCATGGTCTATGATTCAAAACTTTTCAGTAGTGTAACAGTACAAAATTATCAGCATTTATTTAACACTTCCTTTAAAATTTTGTTTGAACTCATGTAAACCACACAAAACATTGTATGACTATTTTTTCACATGTCATTATGGACTGGAAGAACACCTAGTTAGGAATTTTTCTAAAATACAAACATAATTTGAAATTTCTTTTGTGTGAAGTATTACAAACTCAGTCCAGATAGAAAAGTATCTATATACATGAAAATATAGTAAGAGAATTTTTAAGAGAATATAGGAGTCTTTTAAAAATCTATTTCAAATGTTTCTATCCTCAGTAGACAAAACTTCACTGATGAAACAAATTACTAGGCTAAAGTTTGTTTTAAATTGTTACTGCAGAAAATGCAAATATCTCTATAAATCTCATTTAGAAAGTAAATTGCCTAATTGCACATTCATTGAGGAGTATGATACAAAGATTTCCCATCACAAATTTAACATCCTACTTGTAATATTGTGTATACGTCTCTTCTTCTATTGAAGGAGTGGTTTTTCATAATATGATTTAGTTTTTCACAGACTAATTTAGTTTATCTAAATTTTACTTTTGTTACGCAACAGTGAAAATTATTAAGTCAGCAGGTCTATTTGCCAGCATTTTGCTTGGTAGAAAAAAAAATTGCTTTAGTTTTAAAAGGTCTGTTTCTGACTGTCATTTTTTCCTCAAGTGGAGAAAGCCCTGAGGGTAAGGGTCATTAGCATCTTTTACTAAGACAAAAAGATTCAATGCTGGTTGCTATGATACCAAAGGCCAGATTCACTTATTGCAGTCAGAACAGTTACATTAGAGGTCTTCTCAGAACAGCATAAAACTACAGTAGGAACCATAATGCAAACAAAGCGAAATCTAATGGCACAGGCAATCCTGCCCTTGAAGAGCTTAATATCATGTGTTGTTGGTATTTAAAATTACAAGCTGCATCTAAAATGTTTCTTAAAAGAATAAAATGTGTAGACAACAGAGAGAAAGGACACTAAAGAAACAAGTAGGCCAAGTAATGTTAAATTGTTTCATCTGATTCTTCAGCCACAGCTTCCTGGTTCATTAACTCATTCAACAGAACCAACCACAGTTTAAAGTGCAAGAATTAGTGGCCTGGTGATTAAATTATAAATTAAATGAGGAGGCCAAGCAAATTTTTACATATTTACATGTGTGTATGTTTGTGTACAGATGGTGGGAGAAAGTTGCAAAGTGGCAGACAGGTCAGAGAATATCTTGCATTTCTGTAGTGATTACTGTATGTCAAATGTTGGGAGAGGAAGTGAGAGTAGAATTCAATGGTTGATAAAAGTTCTCTGTCACACAGTTGAATACCATTCAAGTTTAAGTGTGAATTGGCAATTTGGTAACACATTCACAAAAACAATGGCACTAACCTTTACGGGTATTGTGAGCATTAGATGTTCATAGCATAGTACCCAGTAACAAGTTTTTATTATAATTAAAAGTCCATGTTATAGACAGTAAAATAGGAAATGGAAGTTGATATGGTAGAAAGGGGGAAAGGATAATAATGTCTTTAAAAATAATCAAAAAGAAAACAGAGATGGGTTCACATGCAAGACACACTGCAAAAATGTTACCTATAAGACTATATAATGGAATTGTATAACACACTCAAGTGACAAGATTTAAACCACACATGATTGTCAGGAAGAGAGAAAAGGAAAACATAATTTAATTCTACAAGTGGCTATGCCACCATTCACTCAATAAGGAAATATTACAAAATGGATGAGATTTATAGAAAAAAAATCTGTAGTCTTTCAGATAGATAGTCTCAGGTCCCTAGAATGAAGTATGACATGCAGGCACCGTACCTCAACTTAGTTCACTAAATGTGAACCTAGCTAGGTATAAATAAAGCTGTGTTTTTCCAATGCATCAGCTAAATGTAAAAGTATCATTTAATATAGTACTCATGTGGGTAAATAACAAAAGAAATTTTGATTAGATGTGTTTTCATCACATTTTGTACATACTTTATAAACCATCTACTGCTTGAGATACTACTCTACCTATCCATCTTTATACTCTATTTTACACAAGCACAATGGTGCCATTAGGAAAGACATTCTATACATTAAAACTAAAACACCTCATTCTGACTGGCTCCAAATTCCTAAGGACTTTACACAATGCCCAGCTATATCTGAGTGGGACTTGAAAGGGAAGACTAAGATAAAGGAAGAAAATTAGAAATATGTAAGAGGAAATGTTAATAAGACTAAGTAGGATATTTGTATGAAGAGATAAAGATACTAAGAATGGTGACAGAGATATCAAGTGGTAACTGCACATCACAAATTTCCAAAATATTGATGCCATTCATTTTATACTTCTGTGCATACTAAGTATCAAAGAATTCTGAAAAGTCACACATTTCAGCATCCAAGTTTTACCTCCCAGAATACCTATCATACCCAAAGACAGCAACAGCAACACATACACATACCATCAGATCATGTGTCCAGACATAAAGGTTCTCTCTTAGAAACAAAGAAGTATGTGCCAAAAGTCCAAGGGAAAGAATTTAAGTAGGAGATAAATGAATGTTGAAAGGAAAAGAAATCAAATTACTAGGTGAGTAGCGATATCTCTAACTGTAATGATGAAGTTGAGACAAAGAACAATAGACGCATAAACAAGTTTTTTCAAAAGAAGTCTTTGAAAGTATATTTGGAAAAATCTAGCAACAGTTCATGGAGTTCCTTCTCTATACGTGTGTGCACACACTAACATGTTCATGTAACACATTTCCAATTATAATTTCAGCAATTTTCTTCTACCCTGAGGGAAAAAAATCTCTGGCTCCAAGAAATAAAGTTATCATAGGAAATAAAATAGCAATTAACAATAGCAATCAGTAGTAACTGACCATTAGTTTTAGGTCACACACTATGCTTGATATTTCACCTTATGAAGAAGTAATTTATTCTATCAGATTCTACCAAGGTAAAAACCTAGTCTTAAATTAAGTAACTTGCCTAAAGTTATCTTACACTAATAAAGTTGGAACTCACACCCATGTGTACCTGACACTAAAGACTTGTCCAGTTTAAATATTTAAACTTCCCCCTTTGCACTTTTGCTAACTATAGGTTTATGGAACTAAAATAAGTTACCCATACAGTATTTTATAAACAGTAACTAAAATGAACATTCAGTACCTTAAATATGCAACTTTTCATCCTCTAAAGCCAATCCCTTCTTGCATTTACTATTTCATACAGCATAAAAACTGTGTTTAAATAGCACACAAATTTCAAAATGAGAATTCAAACCACAATGACCCAGGAAAGGAATATGTTACTGTTAGAAATTGGGAAGTGAGAGCGTGGAACAGGGGTTAAAGACAGTGCTATCAAGCTATCACCAGCCACTGCAGCAAGTGTTAACCCCTGGTCACATTGTTGAACCATATGTCATGGCAGACTTCTCCTACCTCACCCAGTGCTCCACTCAGCAGTTTATTTCAGTAGATCTGCCCATTCTGTTCCCCATTCTGTGTCTGGTGAATCCTCCCAGCTCCCTGCATCTCTGGCCTGCACCCTAGTTCTCGTATGCATAAATAAATAAATCTTAAAAAAAAAAAATTAGGAAGTGGATTCTATCAGATAATCATTTAAAAAATCTGTGACTATAGGAACTAAACAACTTGTATATGTCCTGAAGTCTAGACTTTACCTGGGTCATTATGGGAATGAGGCACCACAAACACTTGAAGGGGCTTAGTGTCCCATTCATTTGATTGATAGGTAATGTCAAATCCTTGCTTCCAAACGCCACCATCTGGATTGTCAAAAGGAATCAGGCTATAAACATCCAGCATCTAAAAACATAAAACACAAAGGGAAAAAAGTAAGTTTGAATATGTTTAACCATTATTAAACTATGTTGGAAAATACTTTCTCAAAACTACTTAGCCCTGTATTCTGTGTATATATTACAATATAAAACTATTCTGTAGACAACTGAAATGTTTAAAGCAGAAAACATTTAATCATTCAAAGGTTTAAGTGCTATTTATGTTACATAACTATCCTAACAATTCTCTCCCCATCTGCTTCTAATAAAAGATAATATCCATCAATTCCTTCTTCCCCTGTTTTACTTCCAATAAAATTTAATAGAAATTGATAGGAACTGCAGAGCAAACCAAAAAAAAAAGTTTTAATGGAAACTGAGGATGGCCAAATATTTCAGTTTTTCCAAAAACAGTACCAAAAGTGATTATTTAACTTGAGATATTTTTATTTTACAATCAATGTTACCTACTTTAAAATATGTAACAGGATGGAAATGCATCTATAGTTATTCTTTCACTCAGCATGCAATATCACTTTGTTTTGTTGTAAAAATAAAAATATAACAGGGTCAACTAATCATTTAAAAGTGAAAAAAAATTAGCTGAGATTTGGCTTTTGAATATTTACCCATTTTGTAAGGTTATAATGCAGTGTTCCTTTCTACATAATAATTTGGAAAGAGGGCCCTCCCTGGTGGCGCAGCGGGTTAAAGCACAGCACTGAGAAGCTTAAGCCACTTCTGCATGGGTTCGATCCCCGCCTGCCCCGGAGGAGATCCACATGGTGCGGCAGACCTTTCCTGACCCACCCGCTGCTCTCCTCAGCAGTATACTTCATTGATCTGCCTGTTCTGCTCCCCACTCTGTCTCTGGTGAATCCTCTCACCCTCTGCATCTCTGGCCTATCCCCCAGTTCTGTATGAATAAATAAATAAATCTTTAAAAAAAAAAATTTGGAAAGAATAAAAAAATTACTAGAGAAACTTAAAGAACACTACCACTTTTTGGTAATTTTAAATTATGTAAAAATTGCATCCTAATTAATAAATAAATGAATTATAAAAAAAATTATGGTATCAAGCAAATTATATGAAAGAGAACACAAAGTATTTTAAGGCATTAACTTAATTCTCACCTCAGAATTTATGACTAAATAAAACACAAGGATGAGCTGACAAAATTTTGGGAACCAGCTGAGCAGCAGGACCTGTTAACAGTCTCTGCTATTCTTCCTTCTTCCTTTGACCCTGCTCCTTCCTTTGACCCAGGCTGGCTCCACCACCCTGGCATCCCTTTATGCCTATCACCCTTGGCTGTTCTCCAATCCTTTCTGCCCAACCCATGGTTTGACCAAAAATAAATAAATGTGTTGCTACCCTTTAAAAGGTATTTAATTAAAATGTAACCAAGTTGAAACTCACATAAACAAATCCCCCTCAAAGCAAAGGAATCTGATCCCATGTTAATTTGAACTTCACACAGAGTAGCTGATAAGGCTGTTGGTGCAAGGACAAGCCAGTGTCACTGCCCCAGGCTTGTGGTTTGGTCTGGCTTTCCATGTTCTTTGTTCACAAGATTTAGTGAAAATGTCTACTCTGAAGCAAGGCCAGAACCAGCTCATTTTGCGCAACTTTAAAATGGTCATACATAGAGTCCTTCCACCAAGTTCCAGGTTTTGGTGTAGGGTACAAGTTTAAACATAGCTCTCTGCTAATTTGTAGAACAGAGCAAATATAAGTGACATACCCTAAGTTTAAGAAAGGCAGAAATCCGTTCTGACCCTAGTTTTCACCTCCACTATCCTCTAGAACAGCCCTGTCCAAGAGAAATATAATGCAAGTCAAATATAAAAATCTAGAATTTTCTAATAAGTGAAATTAATTTTAACAAATATTTAACCCAACATATTAAAAATATTAACATCCAGCATGCAATCCAGATAAAAATGATATTTGACATTCTTTTTTCATACTAAGTCTCTAAACATTGTGTATTTACTTACACTCAGAACACATCTCAACTCACATCAGCCACAAATCAAGAGCTCATTAGCCACATATGAACTGTGGCTTCTGTGGCAAAAAGCACAGTTCTGAAATATGTCCTCCCCTCCCATAAAGAGAAGCAAAAAGAACCTAGCCCTATCCGGTGTGAAACCTATAATGTATAGATATATTAGAAAGATTAGAGCTTTTCTTGTAGTCTCCAAAGGTAAGAAAATCTCTTTAGCTATATTTAAACCTCTTCAGCTAGTACAGAAAATAAGATCTGGAAAGCTTACCCAAAAAGACCATATTAACAATCTGTAAAATAACTTAAAAAATTGAGACACAATCACAGAATTTTATTATTAAAAAGAATATAATGATGATGTAACCAAAAACAGAAACTAGAATCCAGAAAATTTATGAAACTTGAGTTAATACAGGTATTAGCCAAATTTAAAAAAAGAGTTCAGTTATTAAAAAATGTACATATTACCTGCACATCTGAATTCTGACTTCCACTTTGTGAAGCAAATAGGCAGTCTTCGGGGTCAACTGTGAGAGCTAAGCGTTTCGATGGCAGAAAAGGTGAGCCAGCGTCTTGGCTAAAATTGCCTTGTGAACTTTTCGGACCGTCTTCCACAGATTCACTCAAATTGATGACCGAGTCTCTAATATTTGAAATGATCTCATTATTCTCAGCTAGCAAACGCTCCAAATGGTCTATTTTTTCTTGCAACATCGAGAGCTGGCCCTACAATAAAAAAGAAAAAGGCAGCTAGCTATATGAAGCTCATGTAGCTCTACTGAGACACACACTTTTTTTTTTTTTTTTTTAAATTATGTACTTGCCCATGAGAGCAGCCACTACCCTTTACTTTCCTCTTTGATAAGGGGGATCAAAGAAAGCATGAATAGCTGGCAGTATTGAAACATCAATTTACAGTAGAAAATTTTCTCTGTGCTTGCAACCTTTCCTGAATCATATTTTAAAATATGCAACAGAAGAATTAGGTATATATTTCCTATTACCCCAAACTTAGCCTGAAAATATTTTTGGTCTCTAAGATCAATAAGAATAGTAACATATTATATAGCAGGCTAAAAGGTATATAATTTTTATTTACGTATAATTAATTCTAGTTAACCTCAGCAGATTCAAAAAGTATGAACCTGAAAAAGATCATTCCTTTAAGTCAGGAACACTAGCAGACAATCCTAAATAAGAAATGTCATCTATAGAAAACCAATTAGTCAATTCTTAAGTAGCTATATGCATGAAAGACTAGCATGACCACCCCCAAGTGATCAAACTGTTGTCACTTAGACTGCTTCCACTGCACTGTGTTACTTTAGGTGTTTCAGTTGATCCTCACATTGAGAGGCTGGCACCTCTCCTAACATAAACCTCATCACATAGAATAGCACCTCAGTTAAGAAAGTAAGACAGTCTTTATCTTGCCCACTCCTATCTGCCAGGTCCCAAATACATAGTAGACACATGCATTTGTCACACAGCCATTATATTTCCAGGATTTAACAATAAATCCTCAGCATACCAGACATAACTCTACAAGCTGGGCAGACAGAGAAGCATAAGATGTGGTCTAAGCACACAAGGTGACAGTGTACCTAGCAACAGGGTGTCCCTACACCCCAAAGGGCATAGCTTTAATAAGCCAGAAGGTCCACATTAAGGTTTAATAAAATAACTCTATGAATAACGAACAAACAACTCTGAACGGTCAGGAACAAAAAAATCTACCACCAGTATATAACAAATGAACAGAAAGGAAGAGGAAGGGAAAAGTAAGCAAACCCTTAAATGCCCCAAAGTAAAGCACTGGTCAAATGGTATACCAGTAAGATGAAAAACCTCAGCCACCGAAAATTAGAAATAAAAATTCTCCAAAAAGTGAATCTATGAGTAGCGACTTCAGTACAGTGGAGTAAAAGCAGTTTAAATATAGTATGTATTTAAAAAGATAGTATGATGACATGATCCCCTTTTGAAAAAAATACACATATGGAAGACTATCCTACATAGGGTAAAAACTGATTATGGTATTTATCAACATACTGTTTTTGAGTCTGTTAAAAGTATTTGATTTTATAATGGTGAGGCCAGGAGAAGCAAGGATTCTACTCACAGGTTACAGGCCAGTTCAACAAGAAAAGGGGAGCTCTCCCAGATGTCTCTGCTTAGAGGCATGTGACAGGATCAGCACCTGACACATCAAAAGTGTACTCTTTCATCACAATTGTCATCAACTACTGTAGTGTGGGATGTCGCCACAAGGTAAACTCTGAAGCCTGTTCATCAGCATACACAGAAGCAGAAAGTGCAAGATTTTAGTGGGGAACTTACCTTCAAGTCAAGGCCCATTTCCCCTAGTGAAAAGGATGAACAAGGATATGCATCTAGAATAAATATTCTAAAAATGACCAAAAAAAGAGTATTTGGATGGATTAGTACAACACTAGCTCAGGTCTCAAAGAAGGTTGTTGAGCCATGTAGGTTCCAGAACACAAAGATATTGAGCAACATCCCACTACAAACCCTTGTTTATAAATACACAGGATGCTGATTGAGCAGTTTTCAAAGCAAAGGCCAAAGGGAGCCCCCTGAGTATACTCCAACTTCACCCAAAAAAAAAAAATATTTGAGTCAGGCACACAGCTTAAACTGTATGTATTTTCCTAAACATACATGCAATCTCAGTTTGTCTGAAATACAGGGAAAACTTTTCCTTACTCATTACCACAATACCATCAGACTACAGCTTTCTGAAATAACATCTGATGAATATTGCTGAATATTGTCAATACTGAAGAAGTCAGTCTACTCCAATGATGCTTGAAATTTCTATCACAGCAAGTGACAACAATAAATCAAGTTCCTCATATTTTAAATGGAATTAGAATATGTTGACTAGTAAGTACAGCCTATAAGAAAAACCACACACCTCTATAAAATAAACCCTTAGGTTACTATAAAAATCCCATCATCCTAGAGTTTTTAAGATGGCTTTATCAGAAACTTCCAGTGTATAAATTAATATATGGTGCACATATTTCTTCAGTTATTCTTGTATTTTCATTAAAAGCTGTTTTTGGAGCAAAGCACAAAGCCTATGGCTTGACAAGCACACCCTGAGAAAGCAGAGACCTTCCAGGAGAAAATTTAATATGGCTCTGGTCCCATAACCCATAAATGAAAGTATTATTCAAAATAAACAATACAAGAGATAAATGTTTTATGGAAAAGAATCCTGCAGGCACTAAAGATGACTTTCAATCACATTGCAACATTAAAGATACAATTAATGATGAGTACCTGAGATTCTGTACTGAGTTAAGTCAATGAGAAAATTATGGCATAGGGATACATTGGCATAATGGCCTAATAAAAATTATTTTTTGAACTATATTAGGAAGTAGAAAAAGTTTCCCTCCAAACAGCTAAAATTCATCAAATACATACACCTCATAAACAAATTCAAAAACTTGAGAAGAGTGCTATGACCTTAAAAGGATGTGCTCAAAGCCTAGATTAAAGTAACAGAAATCATAGATAATGTTTCAATTATGCTGACAAGTCAAAGAATACCGATGGTAATATTGAAAAGACAATTTTCTGCAGGGCAAGAAAATCACTTGTGAGAAAACCACTTTATTCTGTGATTTGCTAATCAGTTCTTGGGGAGGCCACAGCATTGCAAATGCTGAAGACTGGGGAAGGAGGTCATGATATTTGATTTACTCTGCTTTTGGTAAAAGAGAAAAATGAGCAAAGAAGCATTGATATTAAACACTCTGAGAAAGAAAATTTAGAACCTATTGCAAGGCAAAATAGAATCAGTACCCATTTAGTTCTGAGTAAAATCAGTGTGCATCTATCTACAGGTAAAATCCAAAAAGATATTACATTAATTATTTGTTCCAGGTAAGACACTAGCTGCTGGGATTGACATCACTAAAATCAATCAAGGCTGAATCTACATGTCTTTCTCTTTCCTGCTACAAAAGTAAAAATGTGTGCCTTCCCTCCCGCACTTAAAGGCACACACTCTCTTGGTAAGTTCCAAGCTTAATTTTTCTCAGTTACTCAAAAGCTGTATTCCTTTGGTTAAACTCAACACCTCTTCATCAAGCTATCTTTTCTAATTATCTGCCTTTCTTGCAAATTCCATTTGCTCATCTTCCCATTCTACTCACCACCCCACTGTGGGAAAACCCCCAAAAGGTTCTCATATTATTAACCCTGATAAGCAAGCATCATCCTCAAATTATCCATTATCTCTAGAAGCACTGGGCACAATAGAGAATGCATTCCTCCTGGAAACACTTTCTTCATTTGTTCTTGACACTGATTTTCCATGGTTTTCCACCCGTGTGTGTGTGTGTGTGTGTGTGTGTGTGTGTGTGTGTTTAGGTTTGTGTGCCAAAAATGACATATAATACTTCTTGACTTAGGAAAAGTTACACACTATTTTTCTTTCTTCCCCTTCAGTAATATTTGTGATCCTATTTTACTGCATGTATTGGGCAAGGCACTAGGGTACAACGGTGAAGAACACAGCTATCATCCCTGTTCTTAATAGGGAGATTCATTTAGTAATGAAGATGGAAAGCAATGTATGAATACAGTATATAAAAACTGTAGTAATGCTAATTAATAGATGGATAGAATAACATAAGAAAACACATTTAATAGGATGGCTGGGGAAGGCCATGCAGAAAGAACATTTTAATGACAGTTGAAGTCTAGGAAAGAGAATTTGGACATAGGTATTGAGGTGAATTTGGGGCAACTGATTTAAAAACTCAAATAAGATCAGGGCAAATTTAAGGTGGGAGAGAAAATGCAGGTCTTCATTGGTTTCTAGGTGTTTAATTTTATTCTAAGTGCACAAAGAAATTAGCACTGGAAGTAATAAACTTTTGCACCTGAGTAAGTCATAACTGAAGGATATAAACACACAAAAAAATCATATTTGAAAATGAAGCAATCCAAAATTTTTAAGAAAACATAGGATAAAAA